ATTTGTTTCAAGATTTGTAAAAGTGTTTCGTTTGTTGTAAATTTGTTTTCTGAAATGTAAATTTGTTTCAAGATTTGTAAAAGTGTTTCGTTTGTTGTAAATTTGTTTTCTGAAATGTAAATTTGTTTTATGATTTGTAAAAGTGTTTCGTTTGTTGTAAATTTGTTTTCTGAAATGTAAATTTGTTTCAAGATTTGTAAAAGTGTTTCAGATTTTGTATTGTTGGTTTGCGCTTCCAGGCCACCGTACTCCTGTGGTTGAGTTTTGTGATTCTGCTGCTCAACTTCAACGTAACCGTCATCATACATAATAAAAGTAAGTATTATAAGTATTATACGAAAACGCGAACTACATTTTGATATTATATACAGTCAGTGATTTCTTTATATAATTTGCTTGTTTGTCAAATTCACTTGATTAAATACTTTATCAGAAATTACCATTGCTAAACTGCATGAGTAAAGTTCGGTTAAAGACAGCAAGATTTCTAAATCGGATTATACCACCTTACATTTACATTGAGCTTTATTATATGTGTTTATTTTAGTTATTTTTCGTAGCTTTGAATACTCTGTTCACGTTATTATGGCGTTTGATGCATAGCTTTGAAAAACTAATGCGTGGAGCTTCCCGCCCCAGTCCCACTCCTGGCCGGGCTGCTCTGGAAAGCATCCAGTATAAAACACATTGCCAAATACACATGTGGGCTACAAAGCTCTGCTGTATTCGACACTGCCATCGTGGAGGTTTGGATATAGACAAATTGGGAATAATAAAATGGTTAGACACGATGAAGTTGCTGGCCTTTCCCTCTTATGAGCTCTCAAATGTGCAAACACAAGAATACTTTATACATAACTCTCTTTATCAGGTTTTTTTGTTGTTTTGTTTTTCTTAACGAGTAAGCAGTAGCGGGAGCTCATTCAAATACATTGTTTTGTTCCTTATCATTCATCATAATGAAATACCTCATAAATATTTAAACAATATATGTAATATGAAATGATACTTTTAGTTGCATGTTGGCTAATGAGGACTTAATGAAGTCCTGTTAAATTTTTTATCTTTGTATATTTCAGGTGGGGAGATTGAGACCACATGCAGTGCAAGTTCTGCAGTTTTAATACAGACCAGGAAAACCTCATCAGACACTACGAGCTGTATCACAGAAGACCTTATCTTTGGCCGTGTGTCCATTCCACCTGTGTTTTTGTCTTCAAAACTTCAGGGGCTTGAGCAGATGGCCTGCTTTGTTCTTGAAAGGGCAGGTAAGATGTTACCATTTTACGTTTTTCTATTTTTGGTAATGCAAATACCATGTAGCGGTACATGAAATTATGTTAAAAATTGGTTTATGCACTTGACAGATTTGTGAGGAGTCATTAGAATGTTTTTAGAGCATAAACAGTAATGTATAGGATTTCCTAAATGCGCACTTTCATCTGGTTTGGTCTGCCACGGTTTCCGTAGACTCGTGAACGCGCTTTTAGGAAATCCTATACACTACTGTTTATGCTCTTAAAAACATTCTAAATGACTTCGTTTCGAGTAAATTCTGGACGCTACCCACTCAGGACACTTGGAATACATTGGACGAGCAGTATGGAGGGATATTGACACGTTTTTTGTGNATTCTAACATTTCAGGTTTTTTTTTTTTTTTATATATATAATGATAAACAGTTAAGACTGCAGCTGCAACAGATCGATGCCTTAATGATGCCCTTTAATATGGACCGAAAGTGCAGTTTGGATCATTAAATCTTCAACAACTTGCTGCTCTAAGTGCTTTTCTTTAAAATTAAAAAAATATGTTTTTGTGTCACTACAGTTGCTGCTAAACTGTTTCCTGACTCTGTTAGTCTCAGTCTTGAAAATTGTGCTCAAACCCAACCAACATGCACCGATTTCAGATTTCTATTTGTAAAAACAAATCCAATAAAAATTAAAATGTTGTTTTTTTTCTGTTTCAAATTCTACTATTGCTTTGTGTTTGCTTTTGCATAAAATAACCTGAAAACATTGTTAATTTGTCGCAAACGTCAAAAATTACAAGGGATATGAACAGTTCTGCAAGCAGCTGTGAAGGAACTTGTGTTTATATTTTCTTTAAACCAGCTATAAAAAATACGATGCTTGAGAATTGACATTGGAAAAAAAAAAAAAAAAGATATCTTTGGCTTAAAAAGCAATTTGTTCCAAAGACATTCTTATTATACGGCCATGTAGTACTTAATACTAATCCATCTGCTTTATTTCAAAGGGGCCTGTTTGCTTCTACTAAGTTTAGGTGAGACGTCAACAAGTTTTTGCAAAAAAAAATCAAAATGATGGGAGTGAGACAGAGTGAAGGTATTAGGAGAATAAAAAAACAACAAATTATCGATTGGGAAAGTTAATAAAAGTAAGGCAGACCTCCACAGGCCCTGGAAAAAAGTGATAAGCAGCAATAGAGTGGCTGAAAAAAGGAAGAAGGGTAAATAATAAAAATCTAATAAAACAGGAAAAGAAAACGAAGAAGAAGACGATGATAAAATAAACACTGCAAGCAAAAGTAACTGGAAAAACCTACAATTAATTTGGCAAATTGAAATAAATTTTGAAGAAACTATTATCTCAAAAAGAGAGATGGGGAAAAAAGAAAAGGGACAAAAAAGTTAATTTGCAACAAAAGGAGATGAAGTTAACCAGAACGATTCAACACCAAAAACATACACTAAAGAAGAAGAAAAACATCAGCATCATTAAATTTATTTTGCTGATTGTGGAATTAGGAAGCTGAGGCAGATGCATTTCTTGCAAGAATAAATGTTCAAATTTATTTAACTTCCTCAGAGGGAGAGATAGAGCTCTGACTGGCCAAAAATATCTTACAAAAATCCCAAAACACACACTCCCCCCAGAGGAACCAACCCACCCCCTGCATAAAGAACTTTCTCACACTTGAATATTTGGTTATTCCCAATAAAAAACACTTAAATTTGTCAATTAATTGATAAATTTGATTTTAGCCAGATATTTTAGACACACTGGTCCAGCAGACGAGCTCCTTCAGCAAAAGACTCCTCCCACCCAGATGCACCACAGGAAATCATTCCTACCTGTGGTCATCAATCTATATAACGCCTCCCTCAAGTGATTCAGCCCCCCCCCGTAATTGACATTTATGCACTATTTTTGCACGCCATGTATCACTTTACTTGGATTTTCACTTTATTTGGATTTAGTTTTTACATATGCATAGATA